GCAAAAGACCAGACTTAAATGATTTTATTTTGGACATATTACGTGAAGATTTAGTTACCTTGCGAAGCCTGTAATGCTGGGAAAGGTAGAAGGAAAAAGAAGAGAATGACCAGCAACAAGGTAGATGGACTCAGTTACAGTGATAATGAGTGTACCATTGCAAGACCTGAAGGGCCGCTGTTGGATTTATGTGGTTTCTAAGAGTAAACACCAACTTGCTGTCACAGCATCCATAATCTGTATCACACACATGGATGTGTATTTCTGTATGCCTGTGTCAGTTTTCCAACAATAGTATATCTATGGACATAGATATGCCATTAGCAAACCTGGTATTACCGGAGTAAGGCAACTGTTTATTGCACCATTGGGGAAAGCAGTAAGAGGCTCATTAGCAGTACTGTATAATTACAGCAAGCAAGACACACCATTTTAATGGTTTAAATTATTATATATTGAATTAGAAGTCTCTCTAATGCACTGGGAACATGAACTCTCCTTATTAGGTTACATAATCCAATACCACGTAAGTGGTAAATCCAGTTTCTGAGGCATGTGCTTATATGAAAGAAAAGGTAAAGTATGAGAAATTTCTGAGAGCGGTAAGAGCCGTTTCATTTCCCGTAGGTTTTTGTAAACCTCTGACTCTTTTATCATTAGCAATAATCTTAAAAATTAAAAGTATGTTCCTGGTCAATTGGATTTTTTTTCCAGCTGATTAATTTGCACTTATATTCTTTTTAATGCTTGGCAGTCACATCCCCACTTCTTAAAGGAGACTTGTCAGGTACTATTTTGAGCTGAAAGTACATTAAGGCCACAATCCTCTTGCATTTAGGAGGGAAGAAATAAAGTGGGGTTCTTCATACAGGTGAGTCGGATTGACCAACCACTCTTGTGAAGTGTTCACTCACACATACGGCAAAATTAAGAGTAAGACATTTTCTGTAGAATGGCAAAATTCTGACAGTATATGTAGCCAAAAGTAGCCTTACTATTAGGCACAATGAATGAGTTGCTTCAGGTTGGATGAGAGCTCCAGGTGAGAGCTGTAAGCTAGACCCTTGGCAGCTTGAAGACTTGCTGGCTGGGGAATTCCCCTGGCTGGGGAATTCTGGGAGTTGAAGTCCACACATCTTCAAGTTGCTGAGGTTGAGAAACATTGAGCTAGACTGAAAACTGGGAACCCCCCCCAAAAAAACCTGGAATCAGGTAGTAGCAAATCATTTCCATATTTTTGCCAAACATCCCCTAATGATAGATAGATAGATAGATAGATAGATAGATAGATAGATAGATAGATAGATAGATAGAGTAATGATAATAATAAACTGCTACAGCTGCTACCAGAGAATCTACTTTTTGCTCCTCAAGGATGAAGTTCTCCAAAGAATCTGCCCATCCCAGCTATCTATCCCAGTCTTCCCAACCTTGGGTCCCTCCAGATGAGTAGAACAAACCTAGAATATCCTAGCCAGCGTGGGCACTGCTGAGGATTCTGGGAGTTGAAGTCTACTTGACCGAAGGGATTCATATAGAGAAAAGTGGAGCTGCCTTGAGGAAACACTCAGAATCCAGTATTATGTTGCCGCCTGTATGGGAGCTGCTTGACCATTTCAGAATGGCTGGAGGCTCTACAGCAGTGGTTTTCAAATATGGCAACTTTAAGATGTGTGGACTTCAACTCCCACAATTCCCCAGCCAGCATAAGTCGCCCAATCTCAGATAGCAGGGTCTCTTGTGCCATTCCATAGAGAGGATAAAATAGTGAAGACCATTTGATCTTGACTTGAAGTGAAGCCATAGGTGAAGCCATGTAGGATTTTTTTGGCAACATTATGAAAATAATTTGCCAATACCTGCTTCCAGTTTTTTGTTTTTTGTTTAGTTTCCAGTCTAGCTTACAGCTCTGGCATGTAGCTGTCCTTCAAGTACACTTCCCATCCAAATACTAATCAGGATTGTGCCTCTTAGTTTTTTTTAAGATCAGCCAGGGTTGGACTTGTGACATTTTTCTGGCCTTCAACATTATGAACAAATGTGTGACACTGTTTAAAAAGCAACATCCACGGAATAAAGAGTTTTAAAGTTTTGTTTTTTTTAATCAAGGCATCTTCAGTTCCAAAATCAGTTCAGAGCTGTTTGAGATGATTAATTTGATTTTACCCTCTCTGTACTGTTTGGGGTTTCTTGCTTCCCTTATTTCCCAATTAGGATAAAGGTAGGAATGCCTCCTGCGTTAACTTTGACAGCTGGAACCCATTATTCAAGTAGCCTGCCGACACAGTGCATTTTCAACAGCTGTTTGCCTTGTGCATTTTTTGTTTTTATAATAAAATTGTCCAGAAATTATTTGTTTGCATTTTTCACAAAACTTTGCAACACATATAATCTATCATCTCAACTCAGCACCTGTATAAACCTCCCCCAAAGTCTCATATCCACGGAAACCACAGTGGTCATTACCAAATAGAGACAGAAGGGGGCAATGTTTAAATACACCACTGGAGGAAAATTTTAATATGATTTAAATTAACATAACTATGAATGAGATTGAACCAAATTTAGCTTTTGTCCTTGTATCACCCACGACTTTTCAAAGATTGTCCCCCAGCATTCCACAGAACACCTAAGTGTGGTTTTTGGCAGGGAAAAGATTTTGTGCCTCTGATCTATATGAATATATGTGGAAAATCACTGTCATCACCATCACCGTCGTCATCATCATCATCATCATCATCATCATCATCATCATCAGGCAGTATGGTTAAAACAAAAAAAGAGGAAGAGGAGGAGGATTACGATGTATGGATGATGTGTGAGGCATAGATCTGTGAGCCATACATTAGATCTGTATCTAATTATATTGTCTAATATTTCTGAGAGGTGAAGGAGCTCAAAGAAGGCACTGCTTCTCCATGGTGGCATGGAAACTGGCATAGTTTCCTGATGGAAATCCAGCTAGTCTTCTCCTTGTTGGTTTTCAGGAAAATGTTAAAACATGAGAAACTATTATATTAGAAAATATTTCAG